ATTGTTGGTCTTATGGGGGGTCATCGATCACCCTTAGGGATTCGCTACTATGCTTGTCACGGTATCGTGTATTGACAACCCAACCTGACGAGGTTCATGAGTCGTGTATCTTGCGAAGCCCCTTTTGTCCATCCACCGCTCAATAGTGGGGCTCCGCACTGCCGTAAGAATTAAGTTTAAATTTAAAAATAAAAAAAAGAGACAGGCAGTTAGGCAGTTAGGAAGTTAGACAAGCAGTTTTATGACAGTTTCCAACAGTTGTGTTGGTTAGAAACTGTTGTGTCTATTTGTAATGGTTGTGTTGTTTAGTCCTCTATTTATATATATGGATACATAGTTCTGGATAGCAGTTCCACAATAATAAAACACTTTGTTTATATACTCCAGATCTGATTTTTATTCTCTCAATTGGTATCAAAGCCCTGTTAAAAAAAACAAACACAGATCTGTGATCAGTAGTTGTCTTGCAATACACCTCTAAAAAATAGTCTGTGATGGAGGCCATCAATACTAAAAAAACAAACGATGTTGTTGCTGTTACCCCAGTTCGAGATGGAGGCTCGACAACGTACCAATGTCCTGTACTCACTACAACAAATTATACATCTTGGGCTATCAAGATGCAGTCGTTTATGGATGCCCAATGAATTTGGGATGCCATAGAACCACCGGATGCGACGGAGGTGGACATCAAGATCCGGAAGAAGGCAAGGGCCTTTATCTTCCAGGCACTATCGGAAGACATTCTGATGCAAGTAGCAAGACATGTCGAGGCCAAAGACGTGTGGGATGCCCTTAGGGTGCGTTATCTTGGAGCCGATCGGGTTAAACAAGCACGAATCCAAACTCTGAACAGAGAGTTTGAACTACTGAGAATGAAGGAAAGTGAGAGTATTGATGATTTTGCAAGCAAGATCAGCAAGATCGTGTCTAAGGTTCGGGCACTTGGATCGACAATTGAGGAGAAGAAACAAGTAAATAAGTTGCTTAATTCTGCCACAAATAAGTTCCTTCCAATCGTTGCCACAATAGAACAGTATTCAGACTTGAATACTATGGCATTTGAGGAAGCTGTTGGTAGCCTTAAGGCCTATGAGGAACGGATTACTCCTGGTGGATCAGTCAAAGATTCATCAGATCAATTGTTGTTAACAAGGGCTGAATGGCAAGAAAGGCAGAAAACTGAGTCAAGGCAGGCCGGCAGGGGTCGTGGAACAGGATTTAGTGATCACCGTGGCCGAGGTCGTGGGCGTGGCAGACCTAACGTGCATGGACGAGGGGGCCGAAATCCGTCAAATAATAACCTAAGTTTTGGACAGGATGAACGTGGTAAACGTGACCGAAGGAACCTGCGCTGTTATAATTGTGATAAGCTTGGTCATTTCTCTGCCGAGTGTCGGGCTCCTAGAAGAACCGATGATGAAGTTAATCTAGCAAAGAGGGAGGATGAACCCACTTTGCTAATGGTAAAGAATGTACAAGATGTGGTGATGCTGAATGAGGAGAGAGTGTTTCCTTGTGAATATGCCAAAGAGAGAAGCGAGGAAGGCACGTGGTATTTAGATAATGGTGCTAGCAAGTAGCAATCACATGACCGGGGAACAGGGTTATTTTAGCAACCTCGATGAAAAGATAGTGGGACGTGCGAAGTTTGGAGATGGTTTAACAGTTAAAATCAAAGGCAGAGGGTCTATTCTTTTGCAATGTAAGAATGGTGACCAGAGGCTCATCACCAACGTCTACTATATTCCAGACTTATGTAATAATATACTAAGTTTGGGCCAACTTGACGAGGTGGGATGCAAAATTGTTATGGAGGACGATTTTCTTTGGCTATATGACCGTTCAGGAGCAACATTGATGAAAGTGAAGAAGTCTCCAAACCGACTATACAAGGTACATCTTCATATAGTTCCACCAACATGTTTACTTGCAAAGATGGATGAGGCGGCCTGGATTTGGCATGCACGCCTTGGACATTTAAACTTTGATGCTATAAGGAAGTTATCAAAAGAAAAATTGGTGATTGGTGTGCCAAACATAAATCACAAGTCACAATTGTGTGAAGCTTGTCTCGTTGGGAAGCAACGACGTCTTCCATTCCCATCCCAAATTTCTTATCGAGCACAGAATCCCCTTGAACTGATACATGCTGATCTGTGTGGTGCTATTACACCAAGTACACCATCTGGGAACATGTACTTTTTATTGCTAGTTGATGATTTCAGCAGATTTATGTGGGTATATGTTATCAAGTTCAAAGGCCAAGCATGTGAGGCATTCAACAAGTTCAAGAAGTCAGTTGAATTGGAAAGTGGTTACAAGGTGAAAGCATTGAGAACTGATCATGGTGGTGTGTTTGTCTCTACCAACTTTGAACAACTTTGCAATGAAGAAGGTATAAATATGTATTTAACCGCACCATATACGCCACAACAGAATGGTGTGGTTGAACGCCGAAACCAAACTATTCTTGGAACCACAAGATCTATGTTGAAGGCCATGAATTTACCCCAATGGTTGTGGGGAGAAGGTGTACGACATGCTGTCTACATCATGAACAGAACCCCAACAAAAGCTTTTGAAAAGAAGACCCCATATGAAGCCCTAAAAGGACGGAAGCCCAATTGGAACACCTAAAGGAGTTTGGATGTATGGCGCATGTCAAAGTACCAACACCCAAATTAACAAAGCTGTCAGACAGGAGCGAGGCAATGGTACATCTCGGGAGTGAACCAGGAAGCAAAGCATATCGACTTTACAACCCAAAGACAAAAAGGTTATGTGTTAGCAGGGATGTCTACTTTAAAGAAAACAAAGCGTGGGATTGGGCTAAAGATTTGGAGGCAGAGGGAAATGAAAGTCAGGTTGAATTTGTTGTTGAAAATGAAGCTTGTGTGACTGGTCAAGGATTGACTCAAAATGGTGGCAGCCCACTCAATACCTCACCCAATCACACTGAAGACCTGGCTGCTCCAAACGTACAGAATGAGTGTGACCACCGCAGAATTGTTCGTTGTCTAGCCCAAAGTCGCCTGCCTCGGTTCCAAGCAGCCCGCATGGGTTTGAAAATCTTAGTACATCAGGTTCAAGTCCTATTTCAAGTTCACATTACGATGATACACCCCCTCGAGGATTTCGCCACCTAAATGATGTGTATTCAAGAACTCAATTGATATAAGAGAAGGCTTTCAATCCACCTCACTTTGATGACCCAGAACTATTACTATCCAATGAAGAACCAAGTACCTTTAATGAAGCCAAAGATAGCAAAGAATGGAATGCTCCAATGCAAGACGAATTGGACTCTATAGAAAGGAATGTAACCTGGAAATTGGTTGAACTCTCGCAAGGAGTTAAACCGATTGGTCTGAAGTGGGTTTATAAAGCCAAAAGGGATGCCAAAGATAATATAATTCGCTACAAAGCGAGACTCGTTGCGAAGGGGTATGTCCAAAAACATGGTATTGACTACGATGAGGTGTTTGCTCCAGTTGCTCGAATGGAAACAGTTCGTTTGCTTCTATCCCTAGCTCCACGAGATGGTTGGGAAGTTCACCATCTTGATGTGAAGACGGCTTTCCTTCATGGAGACTTAAAGGAGGATGTATATGTATCACAACCCGAGGGGTTCGAGAAGCCAGGAAAGGAACATCTCGTGTACAAACTGGTAAAAGCTTTATATGGCCTGAAGCAAGCCCCAAGAGCCTGGAATTCAAAGCTAAATGCAACTCTACAACAACTTGGTTTCGAGCGTTGTCCACATGAACAAGCAGTATACAAGCAAACCACAAAGAATGGACCTTTAATAGTTGGTGTATACGTTGATGATCTAATCATTACAGGTCCATGCAAGGATGAGATTGTTGGGTTCAAAAGACAGATGAAACACTGTTTTGAAATGAGTGATTTGAGGCTTCTAACATACTATTTGGGAATAGAGGTGAATCAAGACAAAACTGGCATTACTTTGAAGCAAACAGGATATGCAACAAAGGTTCTAAAAAATGCAAATTTGTGGGAGTGTAATCCTGCAAAATTTCCTATGGATCCAAGTCTCAAGCTTGGAAAAGATGAGGAGCTGGAGTCTGTTGATGCAACTGAGTACCAAAGGATAATTGGGTGTCTTCGATATTTAACCCATACAAGGCCAGATATGAGTTATGCAATTGGAATAACCAGTCGATTCATGGAGTCGCCAAAAACATCACATATGCAAGCTATAAAACAGGTGCTGCGATATTTGAAGGGTACAATCAACTACAGGATTCGATACACGAGGCATGGCGATGCAAGTTTGGTTGGTTATAGTGACAGCTCACATGCCACTGATCGGGCAGATGGAAAGAGTACAACTAGGATGATTTTCTATTATGGGGGTGGTCTGATAGCATGGTGCAGCCAAAAACAGAATACGGTTGCACTATCTTCATGTGAGGCTGAGTTTATGGCGGCAACTGCAACCGCATGTCAAGCTGTCTTGTTAAAAGGTTTGCTTGAAGAAATCACTGGTCAAAGCATGGAACCCATAACAATTCACGTGGATAACAAGGCTGCAATCATGTTAATGAAGAATCCAGTGTTCCATGGGAGAAGTAAGCATATTGACACTCGATATTATTTCATTCGTGAATGTGTCGAGAAAGAGCTAGTAAGGATTGAGCATGTAAGTGGTGACGAGCAGAAAGCTGATATCTTGACAAAAGCATTACCGAGGGTCAAGTTTATCGAGATGAGGCAACTGATGGGCATTGAAGATTTGGCAGGAATGAGGACTGGAATCAAGGGGGTGAATGTTGGTTAATTCCAGTCCAGAATTAAGTTTAAATTTAAAAATAAAAAAAAAGAGACAAGCATTTAGGCAGTTAGGCAGTTAGACAAGCAGTTTTATGACAGTTTCCAACAGTTGTGTTGGTTAGAAACTGTTGTGTCTATTTGTAATGGTTGTGTTGTTTAGTCCTCTATTTATATGTATGGATACATAGTTCTGGATAGTAGTTCCACAATAATAAAACACTTTATTTATATACTCCAGATCTGATTTTTATTCTCTCAGAACTATAGGGGGGTGCCCTATAGGAATCTACCTCGGCTTGGGGCTATAGAGAGATGTGGTTAATACAAAGTGTCCACCTTCATATCACCAATTGGTTTTAGGAAGCATTTGGCACCTCTTTAACTTCAGAACTCTATAGTTAAGCGTGCTGGAACAGGAGTAGTCCCACGATGGGTGACCCACTCGGGAGTTCTAGAAAACGATCCTACATTTTGTCCCAAAGAAACTGCGCACAAAGTATCGAGTCTAGTACCTTGAAAGATTTCGTTGAAAATGTCATATTGACCAATAACATTGAGGGTGCTGTTCAAACATGCAACACCAAAGAAAGCATGCCAAATCTAATGATCTTTCGAGGCAGCAGCTTCTAGCATGATTGCGGGATGTCTGTGATCCCCACATGTGAATTGACCTGTCATGCATTAGGACAATTTCGACACGTCTAGTGCATACAATCAATACTGACAAGCATGCTGGGAAATACATGTCTCACTTCATGGGCAGCGAACAAATTTTGAACGTCTTTTTGATTTGGTCTTCGTAAATCTTGTTTGATGTATAACTTGATGACCCATTTTGCAAACTTTTACAAGCATTCAGGAAACGTTCTCACAAACATTTTGAGATAATCAAGTGTGTCCGTGGACGTGTCGTCTACATGTAGTTGAACCGTTGCGATGCACTTTTGCAAGGTACTAAAACCCAATTTCAGTCTGCCATCCGCATGTAGAATAAAAAGAAGGATCTGTATGTGCCAAATCATCGAGAATGCGGAGGAAAAGATGGTGACTTATACGAAAGCGACGCCTAAACTGTTTGTTATTGTAGATCGAATTTTCCGCAAAGTAATCTGCCACAAGTCGGTCGTGACCACCTACGGTGTGCATAACATAATTTATAGCAAAAAATAGTATGAAAATTTAAATATAATTAGGATTTAAAAAAACAAATCGTATGAAGGATTTATATTTGTATACCAATATGATCTCGTCGCAACAATGCATTTCTTTTTCTTAGCTCTGACGTATTTTTATTTTCTACCTGTCCAGATAAAATTTTTGTCGCCTCCACGACCACATTTATGCACAAAGTTTTGACTTCATCCAAAGAAGTCGTCTATCTCATCGTCGTATCAGATGAAGGAGACAGCATTGTGGCAAAACCAGATGAATTTTTTGTTTGAAAGTGAAGGTGAAGAATGGAGAAGAAATTGAAGGGGAGGGTGTTTAAATAAGGAATTTTTTGAATTTTTAATTTTTTTGGCTTTCAAATGGATTTTATTAAGAGAAGAAATATGACCTTTGTAAACACTCGGAAATTACAAACTAGAACACACGGAGCCGGACGGGAAAAACGGGAAGGGGACCCTTCCTTTCCCGCATAGGAGAGCGGTGTTCCCCTTCCCTTCCCGCTGCCACATTGCCTTCCCGCAAGGCCTTCCCGTGGGCATACCCCATAGCCTTAAAGTCTGTTTAGAAATAATGTTAATGATTAATAACATTGACATTTTGAAAAGGATATCTACGGGCAACGTTTATCGTTAGCATTTTCAAAGTAACTTACACCGTTAAAAATTTTATTCAAAATGCTAACGCTAATCTCTAACGCTATTCCCAAACAGATCCTTACGGTTTTTTTTCTTCTTATTTATTGCAGTTTAACTTCAGCTCTTTCACCAAACTACATTCATTACCAATATAAATAAATGACTATTAAAAATCCACATGTTATGATTTTAAGTCTAATAACAAAGAATTAGACTCCATCTATACACGAAATTCAAACTATAGAATTGGAATTAGAGACAACAATTCCAATTCTGTTGTTTGGTATCACTAAAATATGTGAATTTGGAATTTCTGATACAAAAAATGAATTGGAATTGGAGAATTCAATTCCATAAAATTTAATTTTCAATTCAACGGCCAAATCCAAGTTCATATGCATCCTACAAGCACCAAGCAAAGAACCCCATATAACTGCATCACCTACCACAGGCATTTTTTCTGCCAAATCGATTGCCTCAGTCAAGCGACCAGCTCGACCCAGTAGATCCACCATGCAGGCATAATGTGCAGTTTCTGGTTCTACTAGGTATTTTGACAACATGGAATGAAATATATCTTGGGCTTCTTTCACCTTTCCAGTGTAGCTGCAGGCCGTCAGGAGTCCCACGAAAGTAACCACGTCTGGTGCAATTCCCTGCAAACACATTTCTCTAACACTATGTTTGGTTCAAGGAATTTGAAAGGGAAAAGAAAAGAAAATGAAATGGAAAACCATTTTTCTTGTTTGGTTAGTGGGAAAAAGAAAGGAAAAGTGGAAGGAAAAGAAAATGAGGAGGTAAAATGTACCAAGTGGAGGGAAAATCAAATTCCTTCCATTTTGGTGAGGAAAATGAGAGAAAACCATTTTCTTTTCTTTTCCTTCCAAAATCCTTTAGCCAAACATAGTGTAAAGAAATCAAGAGCTTCTACTCCTAAACCATTTTGAGCATAACTAGTGATGATAGAATTCCACATGACACTATCTTTAGAAGATGATCTGTCAAAGACGCTTCTTGCCTTGACAAGTTCACCACATTTAAAATACATCGTGATCAACACTGACGAGACATATACATCATCATCAAACTTGGATCTGATCAGTGATGCATGTATCTCTCTACCACAGTCAAGAGTCGCAAGGCTTGCACAAACTGATAGTACGCTAATTAAGGAAGGAAAATGGGGGCGGACGCCTTTACTTTGCATCAAACGAAATAAATTGAGTGCTTTCAATTCAAAACCTTTTCTTTCATAAACCTTTCATAAACAAACAACTAGCATCTGCACCCTTGTCAGATAGAAATTATTTGAGGCCCAATAATGAATTGCACCAATAGCTAGAACTAGAATTGAAGGAGGAGAACTAAGAGAAATGTTGCTCCTATCTGTCATAATATGAAGTGAAACTCCTTAGAGATAAACAATAATAAGAGATAAATTAACCAATAGTATTGACTTACCTTCCAAGGATGCACTGTAACTATGATGGATGGAGTGTATTAAATGAGGTGGGTGAGGTATAATAAATAAATTAAGTGGGGGTAGTTGTGGTATTTTAGTTGTTAAAAAATAAAATGGGAAGATCTATTGTGAACAAAGAAAAAAGGATATTGGGAAGATATATGAGAGACGGAAGGAGTAATATTTACCATAGTTTTTAATTCTTTTTTGAAGATTTTTAAAAAACACATCTATGGGATTCGAACACAAGATGTAGGGATGAAAGTAATAGTTGCAATCCATCTCTGCTACAAAGCTTGGTGGTAACTCCTTACTTTTCATTTGTAATATTCTTAAACTAATTTTTTTTTATAAAATACAGTAAATATATATACATATTTAGTTTTTTTTATGAACATTCAAAACCCATTGATATAATTGATATGGAGTGCATATCGCACAAATATTTTATATATGTTTTTAACTCATTCTGAGGATTCGTTGAACTATGTTCAATGCATTCGACTGAATCCGTTCACTCTTAACTAAATTATTAAAAATGGGCATTGTGAGCCTTTGAAGCCCCTCGCAGGCCAGGTGAGGGGTAGGTCAAGGAAGAATCGGTTTTTAAACTTGGTCGCTCAGAATAGCATTGAGTCAAAGAAAAAAACTCGAAATTGCCAACAACATTCCGTTCACTTATGCAAGATTCCCTCGTTTACTTGGAAAGGCGAGTCGATTCAAGATTGGAGTCATCTATAAATTAATAGGTAAAATGTTTAAAAAAAATTCAAATAACTTTTTATTTATAAGCTTTTTTAAATAAGTAAATTTTATTTTTATTTAATGACACAACTCAAGTAAATTAAGTTAAATTATAAATTTAGTAAAACATCAATTCTATATTTATAAATAGAGAAAATATTATTTTATTTACTCATATACTCCCTCCGTCCCACTCTCTTTGTCCACTTACTTTTTGGCACACCATCCAATGCACTTCTTTAATCCATTTTATCTTATAATTTGAATATTAAAAAAATATCGAAATTACATATTAATGATCTATATGTTAAGACAAATCAAACAAGATCACACATGACTATATTAAGGCTTACACATTGAGAGAATTTGATGAGTCAAAGTGCTTAAATGAACAGTTCCAAAATTTAAATGTGGACATAGAGAGTGGGACGGAGGTAGTATTAATTTTTTAAATCAATGCCACAACGTACATACATTTTTTTAAAGGAAAATTTTATTAAATATTATAACATGCGAAAGTATATACACGAGATGTCGTAAATGATTGCTCCCTAAACAATTTTTGGGAGTAGGTCAAATCTTCTACTGAGACCAGCTTATTTAGGCTTCTACTGAAGCCTTCAGCTACAATTATGAAAAGCAAGGGAGAAAGGGGGTCTCCTTGCATAAGGCCTCTTTTAGGGATGATGGATGACGAACTGCGTATAGCAGTAAGTCAATAAATAACCGAGTTATATTTAATACATCTTCTATTTCTAGGTCTCAGTATTAATTATAAGATTATTATATTTCCAGTACATCTCCTATTTCTAGGTCTCAGTACTGTGTTAGAAAATGTTCGGCTTAAATAATTCTAAATCCTCATAGACAAGCCAAGAACTATTTTCCAATTACTTAATTAATAAAATGTTTAACATTATTAATTAGTTTAAACCATTCCAAACGGTTATTTCCAACACTGCCTATTTCTAGGTGTTCGGAACGTGTGGCTTAATTAATCATCATAATAATATTTAAAATCTTCAAACACATACCAATCATCAACAAAGTAAAATTTTATTGATAAAAAGTTCAATAAAGATTACAATAAAAAGTAGAGTAAATTAATTTGGAATGATGAAATTTTAACCCACTCAAATTTAATACAATATTTAGAAGTAAAAAGTGAAGATTTTTGCCCCAAAAAGGGGAAGAAAAGATTGGAGAAGCCTAGGAAAGGAGAAGATCTGCGCTGGCCATTTATAGAAGAGGATCACCGACCGGCGAGCAGACCGGCGGCCGCCGGCCAGCCCGCCGGCGCCGCTGAAGAATTCTCCAGAATCGCCGGAATACAGGCGGGCAGTAGGCTGCAGCCTGCCAGCGCTCCCCCTCGCTTTTGGAGCCTTTTCTCGCCGTCGCCGCCTTCTGAACGGCGGCCGCTGCCGCCGGCCAGATCGCCTGTCAGGTCGCCAAAATCTGCCGATGCTACCTTGCTCAAAATTTTGTTCCGAACATTTTTTCCTTCTGCACCGACTTCTAATTTCGCACCGTTTGTGAGATAGAATTGTTTTTCTATTAAAATTTACTCTTTTTACTCTATTCTTGGCCCAAATTTATATATTACTTCAAAGACATTCTCTTTATTATCAATTTACCAAAACATATATTTTTGATAAAAATAATAAATAATTGACTAGTTTGATAATTAAAATGATACAAGAACGTATTAAATATGAGTAAAAAGATAAGTTCAAAACGGACTTATCAATCTCCTCACACTTAAACGTTGCTTGCCCTCAAGCAACTCATCATCTACCAACACAAGAATGAAGAAGATTGTTTGATTATATTCTAAGATCCTACTTCCTTGCAATAATCTATTAATTTCATTAGCATTAATTACTTCATCTTTTTCTTTATATTCTAACAAGTAAATATCTCATCACTCTTTTCAAAAAATTTAACAATGAACTTATTTAAAAGTTTGCGTGAGTAAGTTTTTCTTCCAAGATCCCCTAAGGTCAGTAATTAATAACGATTTATAGTCTCTTGGTCCACTTATCTCAATTGATTAACTTATTTTTTTTTTTTGTTTTTTTTGTGAGTTATCCCATAATGCCCTTTTTATTGCTTATGAATTGATTTTTTTTTCTTTTAATAATAATAGAAGGCAGAGCTCCAAAGGAGATAAGATACTCAATGCAGCACATAAGCGCAAACAATTGGAACAATTGTTTGGGTTGTGAGTTTATCCCATTACATATGCATACTTGCTCCCTCGCCTTATGCGATTCACGGGAGAAGCAGAGCTCCTTTCGGAGATAGGATTCCCAATTCGTCACAAAAGCGCAACCTTTACAATTATCTTTGTTTATTTATTTCAATTAAAGAGAAAGTGACCAAAAGACTTAGAATCGTTATGTAATTAACAACCTTAAGTTACTCAACTAAAACCCAACTCATGCACAATTTTAAATAAAAGTTCATTGTTAAACTTAGAAATGAGTAAATGATTATTTAATTTATTAGAGAATAAAAGAAAAATGTAAAGTAATTGAAAACTAAATTCATTAACTGATTATTGATCAAGAAAATAATTTTCTAGAATATAATCATATCTGATATTCTACCTCCTCACACTTAAGCTGGACCTCGTCCTCGAGGTCCAAATGCGGGATGCGAGTAGAAAAATCAAAGCATGTCAATCTTCCTCACACTTAATGTGAAGCATATGATGAGAGGCAAGATTTTAATGATCATAAAAAGTTAAAAATTTGGCCAAGATTAGAAATAAAAAGCTATTTTTAATAGAAAATTATTTTAAGCATTAAAACACTTTTTGGTGCGAAAACGGCAAGGCTCATTGTGATGGCTTCCGTTCGTTTTCCCTGCAAAAGAAAAGAAAACAACAAAACAAAGGAAAAAAACAACAAGTGCACAGTGTGTGAAAGTGTGAACAAGAACTATTGCTAATTTTATTATTATTATTATTATTATTATTATTATTATTATTATTATTATTATTATTATTATTATTATTATTATTATTATTATTATTATTATTATTATTATTATGACGGGTTGCTTCCCGTTAAGTGCTAATTTAACGTCATTAGCTTGACGCCATTATTCTTAAACTTGGTAAAACAAACGTATCTAACGGAGCACTCTCCTCGAGAGTCTCCAACTTTTTCGGAATAACCACCGTAAGGTGGCGCAGACCTAGATATTCGTGAAGCCAAAGAATAGTGAAAATCCTATAAAAAGAACTGATCACCCCAAGCATAAAAGATATTCTGATAAAGGTAAAGCCTTGGGGATGCTCGACTTCACGAAAAGTGGTTCAAAGAGACCCTCTTTTTGTGGAAAAATCTTCAGTGAGTCAATGTCTCTTTGAATGAGTTTTTCTAAGGGACTCTCTCTCTTCAAGATATACATTCTGGTCAAATTCAACAGAGCCCCCTAAATGATCAATGCCCTCGGACTTTTGTAAAAATTTTACCTTAAGTTCACTTTTATGTTCTCCATTTCCCTCATTGAGAGACGAACAAACAAGTCTTTGATCGTCTCTTTTCTCTTCTATACCTAATGGAGAAACATTAAGGTTTTCCTCAGGCATTACTCCCTCCAACCCATTATTGTGATTTTCATTATTTACTCGAACAAGAATACCTTTATCAAGCAAGTTTTTCAATGTTTCTTGATATTCATTTTCAAAATCAGCCCAAAGATTTTCTTGTTTGAGATAATATTCATTCTCATCAAATTCCTCATCTTGAGGTGGTTGGCCTAAAGAAGGTGTTCCTTCTTGCGCTATGTTTGATTCAACAATTTTATCCATCTCAATTTCCTCATCCTCAAATTCATTAGCTAACCATTCATTTTGATGAATTTTATTAGGTTCATGAGGTTTGAATTCTAATACTCCCTCTGTCCACCTAAGATCTTCCCATTGCACGTTACGAGTTTTGACCAACTTTATTTTAAATTCAATTTATTTGAATACATGGGTAAAATTTTAATATAAAATCTATGTAGTAATAAACTACATGAAAAGTTTTACAAAACTAACTATACTATTTCATGAAATGAGTAGTAAAAATAAACAAACAAAGTGAATTAAGTTTGACCCTGTGAATAGTGTCTGGGAAGATCTATGGTGGACAGAGAGAGTAATTCATAGAGATTTCCAATTTCCTTAAGAATTTCTTCTTTTTCGTTATTGAAAATCTCAAGATTAGAATCAAAATTTAGAGAAGAATAAGGAAAAGTATAACAAAGATCACCTTCTTCATTTACTAAACCCTTCTTCTTAAGAAATTCATCAAAATCAAGGTTAGTGTATCTTTTTAATTCTATTTGCCCAATTAAATTTCTTATAATGCGATCCATGTCATTTTTTATTGATTTTAATACATTACTAATCGCATCAAAATTATTAATAGGGCAAAATTTGGTAAATGATCAAAATTATTAAAATTTCTCCCATGATCATAATCATCAAAATAATTATTATTCATAAGAGAATTGTAATGCCAATTGTTTTCAAAATCTTGATCATTACTAAAATATAGAAATCAGCTGGGAAAACAAAATCATTCACTTGGACTAAAACATCTTCCAAAATCCCTTCAGGATAAGTGTAACTTCTATCTGCCAATTGGATTACCACTCCTATTCTCTTAAGATCTCCTATGTGTAGTTGTTCAAAAACATCTTTTGGCATTACATTTATAGAAGAACCTAAATCAAGCATTGCCCTATCAAATTTAAGACTCCCTATTTGACAAGGAATAGAAAAAACCCCAGGATCTTTGCATTTTTGAGGCATTTTATTTTGAAAAACAGCACTAACATATTCACTCATTTGGATTTTTTCATTCCCCGAAAGTCTTTTCTTATTAGTGCACAGCTCTTTTAAGAATTTTGCATATTTAGGCACTTGTTTGATGGCTTCTAAGAGGGGCAAATTGATCTCTACCTTCTTAAAGGTATCTAAAAGTTTTTGATCTAAGGCT